ACGTATCAGAGGTTTATCTATAAATAAATTGCTTGAGATTATAAATAATGATGAAAATATATTAGTATACACATTATATGGAATAACATTGAAGATGAAAAAAATTAGTCTAATATGCTTTGTATTATGTATGCCAAGATATTGTAGATAGTCGTTTAGAAATTTTTCCTTTTATATAGATACACTTCTTAACAAAATTAAAGCATCACTTACTGTATTCTCTAAAAATAGGCAAAAATCAAGAAAGTGTAACTTCGCGAAATATGATTGTAGAGAGATTTTTTACAAAGCATTTTACAACTGAAATCTTTACTTTTTAAATCAACACTTTAAAAAAGACTTTGTGACGTGTTTACGGAGGTGCATAAATGTAAATGGAGATGCGTCAAATCTCAAAAATTTTTTCAAGATTTGCGAAGTTCCATGGCGTAAATTTAAAATCGCATGCAACTGCAGTTTACAACTTTTGAAACAGTCTATCTGTAATTTGCTTTTTTGTTGAGCGTGGTGCGATTTTTTTTCACCGAGTTATTCAACATTAAAATAAAAAGGATCATTTTTGCTTTAATGTTGAATAAGTGTAAAAGTAAAAATTGTACAACGCTCTACATAAAAAAAAATTAAAGGTAAAGATTCACTCTTTCGAAAGCTGTAAACTACATTTGCATGGAATTTTTAAATCGCGCCGTGGAACTTATCAAAGTTTGTAAAAAATTTCGAGATTTGTCGGGTCTTATTTTATATCCATGTAATTCTATGAAAAATCAGTAAGATCGTTTTCTAAAGTATCAATTTGGAAAGTAGAGATTTTAAGCTGTAAAATGCTTTTTTGAACATCTCGACACGATCATTTTTGACGAAGTTACATTGTCTTGAATTTTGCCTATTTTTGGAGGGTACAGTAAGTGATGCTTTAATTTATATATATTGTGACGCCGCAGTCCGCTGCGGCGGAGCAGCGTCCCGCCGCCGTCACAAGGCGCGGGTTCGCGCCCCTTTTTACCGGACCGGCAGCTGCGTTGTCAAAGCGAGACCGAGATCTCCGGGAGGCCCGAATTGAAAACGTGTACATTTTATTAATTTACTTTGAACCTCTTGTATGTACCGCGGCACCTCACCGGACAAATGGAGCGACGGAGGAAAGGAGTCAAGGTCGCTGACGGTGGAAAGAGCTTGGAGTACGAGCGACCTGGCGCAGGAACTACGGGGGCACGCACCGGGCACGCGGCGGGCGGGTGGCCGAGCGCGCACACGCGGAGCGCGTGACCGCGCAAGGATGCAAA